TTGGGTGCCCTGGACTACTTTTTGGGAATTGAAGTCAGAAGACAGTCCCCTGGATCTCTCTTCCTTACTCAAACAAAATACATAAACTAATATGTTTGAAGCTAAGGCTATCTCCAGCCCCATGCCCTCTAGCTGCAAATTATCCAAGTTTGGCTCCAATTACTTTGAGGATCCTGGCTTATATCGATCAGTGGTTGGAGCTCTCCAATATGCTACCATTACAAGACCTGAAATCAATTTCTCAGTTAATAAAGTGTGCCAGTTCATGAGCCAACCTCTTGTGGATCATTGGAAAATAGTCAAAAGAATTCTCAGATATCTCCAAGGTACTATATCCTTTGGTCTCTCTCTGACTGCAGCTCAAACACCTCACTCGGATGCTCTATTTCACTTGGCAGCCTTTTGTGATGCTGATTGGGGTAGTGATCCTGATGATAGGAGGTCTACCTCTGGTGCTTGTGTATTCCTAGGTCCAAATCTCATCTCTTGGTGGTCTAAGAAGCAGCCTCTTGTAGCAAGATCCACGGCTGAAACTGAATATCGCAGCATGGCTTTAGTTTTCTCTGAAATTCTGTGGCTGCAATCATTATTCCAAGAATTGAATCTGCCTCTTTCTGTTCCTCAGGTTTACTGTGACAACCTGAGTGCTGTAGCACTTGCTCATAATCCCATTCTTCATGCTCGCACCAAGCATCTTGAATTGGATCTTCATTTTGTACGTGAGAAGGTTTTACTCAAACAGATCACTGTTGCTCATGTCCCTGCTTCAGACCAGATAGCTGACATCTTTACTAAGCCACTCTCTCCAGATCCCTTTGCTCTTTTTCATGCCAAACTCACAGTCCTGGATTCTGCCTTGCAGCTCCAGCCCTGATGAGTTTGTGGGGGAGTATTAGCATAGCTTGCTGCTATAGGTCTCATTGTATTAGACTCTAGCTTATATAAATGTGTTAGTGAACTTCTGAGTTAGTTAGAGTGACAGCTGTAAGCTAAGTGTGTGACAGCTGTAAGCTTCAATGCTGAGTCACAGTTTATAGTTTGTATATATATCATCTTGTATCTGAAATGTATTGTAACTTTTCATTCTTCAATAATACAAACGGGTTCTTTTCAGATTACTCTCTTCTCTCTCTCTCTCTCTCAGATCTTCTTCTCTCTTCTCCATGCAATTCTCAGATTTCTAATACTACTACTCCTATTTTATGTTCGTGTTGCCTATGTGCTGGCCAACATTCAGCTCCATATAGCATTGCAAGCCTTACTACTGTTCTATAGAATTTTCCTTTTAACTTAAAGGGGATTTTGCGGTCACATAAAAACCCAGATGCACTACGTCATTTCATTCATCCTGCTCTGATTCAATGATTTACATCCTCATCAATCTCTCCACCTTTTTGCAAAATGGACCCCAGGTACCTAAAAGCATCTTTCTCGGGTACCTCTTGACCATTTAGATGCACGGGATCTTAGTCTACATCTCTTACCAGAGAAAACTCACACTTCAGATACTCAGTCTTGCTCCGACTTAACCTGAATTCTTTAGATTCCAACGTGCTTCTCCACAATTCAAGTTTCCTATTAACACCGTCTTTGCTTTCATCAATAAGCACCTATGATTGAAATAGCGCCGCTTTAGCGCGCTATACCGCTTCAGTTGCGTGTTGCGGCACCCAACCGCTATTTTCGCACCGCGACGCGACGGTTTCCGGTAGCGGTCAGTAGCGGCCGGTTGCGGCGGTGGCGGACGGAAGCTCTTGCGGCGCTACTGCGCTGCTACAGGGAATTGAAGAGAAGTTACAGACATTCAGGGAGAAAAAGAAATGTAAAACGCACGGGTGGCAGCATTTTGTAAATTTGAGTATCATTTAAGGGTTTAATAGGAAAAGGCCAGAATAAGTGAGGGGTAAAATAGATATTTTAGTTGAAAAGCCAGCGATTTTTTTGGGTAATGTTATCACCTTCCTTTTTCTTTATTGATTTTGCTGCCAGCTTTTGGGTAATGTGTCCGTTGCAGTGCTTGGTTTGACAAAATTTAAGAATGCTACTAAATACATAATTAAAAAAAAGAAATAATGCGAAGAAGTCAAGAGAAAAAGCTGTAGGTGATGCTGCAGGCTGCAACTATTATTCAGATTCTTGGAAACTGAGTTTTGACAGCTCCTTCTCCTAGTTCATTGCATCATTACCCCTATTCTCCTCTTTCCTATTTTTATTTAAAATCATAATAACAATAATTTCAAGTCCCATTATTTTTCTATCCACCAATTCACATTTTAATCAAATATATTTATTTTTAATAATCAAGATTTATATTATATACTTTAAATAAATTATAATTTTTGCATGATCTTATAATGTAATATAAAAATAATTTGTTACCATTATATATATATAATATAAAATTTATATTTTATATTAAAATAGAAAATTATAAAATTATTATTGTTGATTTATTCATTAATATTTAGAATTTCTCTCACATAAAATAAATCATATTAAATAATATATGAGATAATTGATCTTTTGAAGTAATAAGAATGACCTTAAAAAAATGTGTTTGGCTGTATTGTTATTAATTTAGTTACTTTATGTTCCTTGAATCTTTCTTTTGAATGTGTAGTATTATATTTTCCATTCCTCATCTCCTCCTATTTTGGGTGATTTCTTTTCTTATAGAAGTTATATAATATTTATATATGTGGTATAATTTATTATAAGTAAATATGGACTTCACAGTAGCGGCTTTACCGCTACCCGCTATACCGCTATAGCGTTTTGGGGGTCGGCCGCTACTGACCGCTACCCGCTATTTAAAACTATGATAAGCACAATACCATCTGCAAAAAAGCATACACCATGACACTTCCTCTTGAATATCTTTTGTTAGTTCATCCATAACTAAGGCAAAGAGATAAGGACTTAGAGCCGAACCTTGGTGTACACCTACCGTGATAGAGAAATAACTTGATGTTCCGTTACAAGCTTTCACACATGTAGTAACCCCATCATACATATCCTTGATTGCCTTACATACTTTGATGGTATTTTTTTCTTCTCAAGAACCCACCATAAAACTTGCCTTGGAACCCTATCATATGCTTTCTCAAGATCTATGAACACCATATGTAAGTCCTTCTTCTTTTCTCGATATCTTTCCATTAATTGTCGCATCAAAAAAATGGCTTTCATGGTACATCTTCCTGGCATAAATCCAAATTGATTTACAGAAACCTTGGTGTCTCTCCTCAAGCGATGTTCAATAACTCTCCCACAACTTCATAATATGTCCGCCCATTAGCTTTATGCCTCTATAGTTAGAACAATTCTGTATATCTCCATTGTTTTTGTAAATAGGCACAATCATACTTTTCCTCCAGGCATCAGGCATCTTATTTGTCTGAAGAATCTTATTAAAAAGATTGGTCAACCATTTTATTGCCACATCCCCCAGACCTCTCCACACTTCAATAGGGACACCATCAGGTCCCAAGGCTTTATTAGTCTTCATCCTCTTTAAAGCCTCCTTAACTTCATGTGTATTAATTCTGCGCACAAATCTTCTATTCAAATCATCATAGGCATCTTCCAAGTCCACCTCGCTTATATCGCCATCCCCATTAAACAGCTTGTTAAAGTAGTTCATCCATCTTTCATTTACATCTTTATCTCTCACCAAAAGTTTTTGATTTTCATCCTTGATGCATCTAATTTGGGTAAGGTCTTTACTTTTCTTATCCCTTATTTTTGCAAGTTTATATATACCTTTTTCACCATCCTTGCTACCAAGATTTTTAAACAAATCGGAAAAAACCTTGCCTCTAGTTTCCCGCACTGCTTTCTTTGCATTTTTTCTCGCCAATCTAAACTTTGCAAGTTCTCTTCCTTGGGGCTTCTATGCAAAGATGTAAAGCATTCCTTCTTATTTTTAATTGCCTCTTGCACCTCTCCATTCCACCACCATGTTTCCTTTGTATGAAATCCAATTCCTTTGCTTTCTCCCAACTCCCTCCTTCCTATATTCTGAATACACATAGCCATCTCATTCCATATTGCATTTACTCCTCCATCAAACTCTCAAGGTCCTTCGTGCAACATTCTTTCATTGAACTCTCTCTCTTTTCCCTCGTTAAGCTTCCACCATATTATCCTTGGGTTCTGGGTCCTCTTCTTCATTGTAAGTACTTTGTTGAACCGAACCTCCAGAACTACCAGCTTATGTTGCGTAGCAACACACTTTCTAGGGTAGACCTTACAGTCGACACAAGAAGTTCTATCTTCTCTTCTAGCCATAAAGAAATCGATCTGACTACGATTTTGGCCACTATGATATGTGATTAGATGTGACTCCCTAGAATAGAACAAGAAAATTCTTATGTCCTTTTTTGTGAATTAAAGAGGAACTCATCAAAAAGGAAAAAATGTAGAGACATCAGATAAGAAATATTCTTGGAAAAAGCAAATAGAGTATAGATACAAACAGAAAAAAAACAAGAATAAAACATCAGCTTCAGTACATACTAATATTTGAAATGGATCCTCTCATGTGTGTTTTTTACATTAAAGTGTCATGTGAGGATAGATAAACACAAAGAACCTGTTGAGATATATAAAACCATTAATGTAGCCTCACCCAACAGCTTAAGATTTTGAGTTGAATTGGTTCTTTACATGGTATCAGAGCCTCGTGTCCCGGGTTCGATCCTTGTCGCCCCCCACTTTCTTTCAAGTGGAATTTCTTTGTTCGCACAGGTAGGTGGGCCTGTGCATTGTCCACCCTTCAAACCCAGTGGGCTCTCGTGTGAGAGGACGTGTTGAGATATATAAAACCATTAATGTAACCTTACCCAACAGCTTAAGCTTTAGAGTTGAATCGGTTCTTTACAGAACCTAATCAGGGCCCCACAAATTTTTTTATCTATGTTTATCTTCATATTGCAAGGTCATGTGATAAACTTCGTTGAAAAGATCCATTTCCTCCAACATTTTTGTTCTACATTTGATTATTGACTAATTGCTTCAACACTAAAAGTTTTCACGATAAAAAAATAGCTGAACATAGCGTAAATAGTGGTCTTACCATTTCTCTGGGCTTCTTTTTTTTGAAAGCGGTAAAAATCTAGTCCCACTTCTTTATGCTTCTTTTTGGCCAATTTGTTCTCCACAGCAGCTTGGGCAACAGAGCCCACAGCCACTCCACTTTCAGAGTCGGTAGTTTTCTTCCTCCCCTTCTGGTGCACAACAACAGTCCAACCCCCTTCTGCAGCACGGGCTTCTCTCTCTCTTCTTTCCTGCATTGAGAACAACTACTATCTTAAACCAAATATAAGGAAGAAACCAAGAAATAAATGTTGTATCATTTAGATTTTAATTTTTACTTTGGAGTGTAAAGTATCTAGAAAATCCGAGAAACAGACTAATTTAATAACTCAACAACATATAAGCTGGCTCAGGCTTCAGCCAGATTCAAAATGGAAGAGGAATTCAAATAATGATTTTTGGACAGAGTAATTGTATTCCAAAATTCCATTTCCAAAATATTTGGAATGGAATATGGTATCAAAGATTATGTTTGGACTTTGGAATTAAAATTGTCACTGGTCAACAGTATGATTGTTGACTGGTGATAATCCCGCAATGATGATGACTAGTGGAGTCATCAGTTAAGGTACTGGAAGGCAGCGCTCAAAGTGATCTCTCAGGTAAAGACGGTCAACAGGCTTGCCGCATTAATGGTATTATTTCATTTGAGAATTACTCTCTTCTTTCTTGATGTGTCATATTGTATACATGGCAGGTACACATGAAGTGTAACGAGTTACACTGCCTAGACAAGAAAAAGCAACCTCAACTAAAAACATAACCCAACAGAGAGGGAATATCAAATGGTTAACAAGAACAAACAGCACAAAAATCAACTTTTGACATTGTACTTGTCTTCAGCATTGCTAGCTATGAGAAATATTTCTATTCATCTCAAGCTAGATGTTCCATATAATACAAACGGGCATGATACCCATATCTTAAGACCTTTCAAGAACAAGACAACATCCTCCAAAACACAAAACCTCACTCAAATGAAGACATCACCCAATGCATAACGCAAAGGGGAAGCATTAAAACTAATACCAAGGTATTAAATTGCAGGTTGTATCATGTGAAGCGGCCACAATATCTCGATTGCTGTGACTGCCACAATTGCATGAAGCCATGATTGTGACTCAATTGGCCCATATCAACCTGCAAAGGCCGCAGTCCAACCTGAACACAATATCACTACAACCACCACACACAACGTGGAATCTTGGGTTCCTGTGTTTAAGTCCTCCTTTGGTAATGAAGAGAAATTTTACTTGTTATTTTTTCAAAGCCTAGAAACTGGTATAAGAATTGACATCTCCACTTAAATAATATATTAATCAACATCAACTTAGACATATATACAAAATTTAAGCCGAGATAAGATCACCACACAGAACTCTATTTCAGTGCCACTTCCATGTGGCAAGAAATCTGCAGAAAGTATCCAAAATTCAAAGCAATGACTAAATATTGTCACAAGTGCATCCCAACATTCTGTTCTGATCCTAACGGTGTTTCTTAATTAAATTCTTCTTAACGGTAAATGTAATATTAGCATAAGAAAGATATAAGGGAAAATAAAGGATGTTCACATGAGTCTCAATACGAGCCAGGGCCATAAATGTAAGAGGGTTAAAAGTCAAAACATTTACCTCTTCCAATTTTTCCTCATGAGCAGTTATAAAGTCGTCAATTTTTTGTTGCAATACATTCAATCCTTGTCTACTTTCATGGTATTCCATGATCCACTCTGTAGTTTAAGTAACCCCAAATTAATATACAATAGCATATAATATGCATAAAAATAAAAAAGATGCGTCTCAATCCAACTTCCGAGAGGACATAAATAGCTTGAATATGTCGCAGTAACAGTACAAAATATAAGCCACTATCCATGTATCATGCAAATAAATATTTCAGGCACACAATATTTAGAGATTCTAAACGAATGTAAATAATCCCTCAATTTAACAATTCATACTTTTCATTCCTTTTGAGCAGTCCTCATCTCCAGAAGAAATAACATAAATCTCATCGTGATCAGGGCCCCTTCCCTTTTCTGGTGACTTTTGAACCCCCTCCTTTTCAAGACTCTCTTCCTTTTTCCTCTTTTTCTTATTTTTCTTAGACCTACCTACAAGAGAAGAAAAAAAAAAAAAAAAAAAAAACTCCATTAGGAAAATGAATGGATAACTTCAGGAGTGTCATCTCATTATGCAACAAATAAATAAATAAATAAAGAAGAAAATGTTTTTAATACAGGGTTTAATTGCTGCTCCAATATCAGCATCTACATGCTCCTTACAGCCTTGGATCGCTTGAGCTTCGAAAGAACAATCGGTTGCTACGCATTCTGATAAAAAAAGGAGAAAATTTGAAGTTCAACATACCGTCTGCCATATTTTGCAACAAACATTAAAAAACAAACGTCCAATTCTATGCTTATTAGCAGCAACATATCTTGTCCACAGGGTGCTACAAGCCCACAACCACCAACTCACCAATTTTCTCTTCTAAATCAGCTTCATGCTTTGGTCTTAGCCTTCCAACTAGATTTTTATCTTTATTCTTCCTTTTTTTATTGATTTCTGATTTCTCCTTTTTCTTCTCTCCAACTTGCATTCTACTATCCACTGAAATAGGATATGCAACATATCATAATAAAACAGTTATTTCAGTGATAACTCAACAAATTAAGGTCAAATTCAAAAAAAAAAAAAAAAAGGAGTACCTTCAATATTCAATGTACTATATGTCTCAACATCAGCATTTTTTTCCTTCTTCCTTTTTCTCTTCTTCTCCACAGTACGTTTTACTGTTTTGCTTTTCTCTTTCATCGTACCAAAAATTCAATCTGGAAACCACAAGAGAGGCCAGCATTCGATTACTTTTAATCCAATGCGGTCAATAAACGATCAAATATAATAAAATTGAAAACATTAAATCGATTGAAGCAATACTAAGAGAAAGAAAAATCGCAGAATTTGATAAAAGAAGAGAAGGGGGCGCGAATACTACAAATTGGCTTGTGAAACAAACAATACGGTCGATGATTTTTTTTCTTCCGCGAGTTATTGGAAGGAAAGTGTGAAGGAATTGAGATGTTCTAATGTGAAGAGACGAGGGGAAATTGCAGTCTCTAAAACCCTAACATAGACAAGGCAGCATCTTCTATAATAAGGTTTAGGGTTTAAAGTCGTAGAGAATTTTTTTCATAGATTTTAAAATAGAATTTGGTGTTTGTCATTTTAAATGACATAAGTTATGTCATGTTATGAGAGAGATAGACACATAAAAACAGAAATCATGAGAGAGAGAAAATGAGTGGTTTTTTTAATTTAAAATTCAAATTTTCTTTGTCTGTATCTCTCTTAAAATAACATAACTTTCTCTCATTTAAAATGACAAACACTTTTCTCTTTAAAATATTATTCAGAATTTGAGAGACTTTACATATTTTTTAAAAAAACTTTTCTTATAATTAAGTTTTTATAAGATTGGATTTTAAAGAATTTATAAGATTTGAAACGATAATATGAATTTATAAAATTTTAAAAAATTATATGAATTTTTAACGAACATTAAAAATTACAAGAGTCAATAAAAAAAAATTAACAAATAAATGCAATGATATTAATAAAAAATAAAACGTAATATAATTTTCTCAATTAGTAAAATTCATGATAAAGTTTCGTTTGAAGTTTTTTGCAATTGATATTGTAAACCTTGAGGTTTTTGTTATACATGATGAGAGTTTTCAAACAATATATTATATGCATGTTTTCATTGAGTATTCTAAAAAAATTTCGAATCTAAATTTCTAGATTTTATTACATGAAAGTTTAGAAAAAATTTCAAATTGTTTTTAGTCAATACATTGAAATCTTAAATTGTTTTGGGGGTTTTGAAAAATAAGTTTTTAGTGATCCATTGACATGAAAATTGTTTGAAATCGTTTTCTATAGAAAATGAATTTCGTTCATGAATATATTATTATGAAACATAGGGCATGTTTGGTGCATAGTATAGTTTAAGACTTGATAGTATAAGACCTGATTGTATAAGACCTGATTAAATTTTAATATTATTCTGTGTTTGGTATGGTATTATATAAGATAATATCCTCTAATATTTTAAAAATTAATATATTAATTTTTTAATATATTAATGTTGAAATGATATATCAGTTCTTGACAATTGTACTTTTAAACAATATTAATACATCAATCCTTTATCAGGTCTAATCCTACCCCCTTAGGCCTGATTAAAGTTATACAATATTTTGATGTATCAAGAGGTTCTTCTGTATAAGTTCATACTATACGATGGTCACATCAAATAACTGAAAATGTCATAACGTATAGTATAAGTTTATACTATCAAGCCTTATACATCATATTAAACAGGCCCATAGGGTTCATAGTATGAAAGTTTCAATATTTCTTTAAATAAATCTTGTTTCATTCATGTAAAATGAAAAGTGGTTTGTGGGATTTTGTTCTCATGTTGTTTTTCCATTATTTTATTTTGTTTTTAATAAAAAAATCACACATTTTTCTACCAAGAAAAATCATGACCAATAGCTTGAAAAATCAATTTTAAAATTTCAAAAATTCTCAAAAATTACTTCAAAATCTGCTATTTTTTAGATGAATTTAGATTAAAATCTCGTTGGATTATTGTTTCTGAGTTATTTTGTGATGAAAATCATTCAAAAATCTGTTATTTTTGAGCTTTGACGAAGTTTCCATGGCAGAACTTTGTTTCGAGCGGATCGACTCACCAAAAGAAGAAAAAGACACTACAATATAAAAATCTTAAAAACTCCTAAGAGTTAGGATGAGATTATAAGAGAGATATATGGTAAAGCATGACGAGAAAAAAATGTTGCATAGTGCATGTTAAAGTTCCAACAATGAAATATCTTTCTAACATCAAGCACGAAGAGAAAAAAAAAAATCAGACATTGTAGAGCTTTTTAGAGTTTTAAACATCAAAACATTTATCCTAAAACAAATTTACAACAAGTAATTGAAAACTTGTTATAATATAATATTCAATATTACCACAATCGGTTGATTATACAGATTAATTAAATGACATAAGTTATGTCATTTTAAAAAAGAAGTAGACACAACGAATGAAAATTAAAAAATGAGTGATTATTTTTTAGTTTAAATTTTCAATAAAAATTTTTTATTTATATTTTTCTTAAAATAATATAATTTTATATCATTTAAAATGATAAATATTTTTTTCTATTTTTAAAGAGATAGTAAAAAAGAAATAGGTAATAATTATAACGTCTCTCATTTTTTAAATATTTTTTCACCACCACAAAGTACTAGACGCATTAAAAGAAACTCAACTAACGGTTACCAAAAAGAGAGTCAACTACCCTAATTACTGCTTGATAGACTATCCTCTCTTAAAAAAACTAGGTACCGAAGAAGTTTGAGAGCTTCTTCTGCCTTCTCCTTTGGTCTTCTCTGTGCCGTGATACTCAGGTCAGGTCCTCTTCGCGCTCCTCAACTGCAACGTCACCAGCGGCATCTGCTTTATCATCATCTTGCTGAAAGGGTTAAACAGATTTACACCGTCGATCGCCGTCTCTGCCGTCGTTTGTAGGATCTTCTCCGCGATCTTGACTTTCTACTTCGCATTAGGTTCGATTCTTCTCAAGCCTCTAATAATTTCCATTCTTATACATTAAAAAACTCTGGATCTGACCCTTTTTAGTCTTACTAGGGCTTTCCTCTCTCTTTTTTGGGTGAATTTGTCAGTGTCATTTGTCTGCAGTTGCCACTTTGTTGGGGGCTATGACTGGATCTTTGTCAGGCCACGAGATCGAGTTGCTACTATTGCAAGCTGTATTAAATGATGCTGGAGAGGAACAGATCACCGCTCGCTTTCGCGAAAACTGTCTTTGATGCTGACCATTTGTTCGATGAAATCAACACTAAGATTCCAAAGTGGAATCTGAGTGTCAAACCTTCGGTGCTAAGGTTACCGAACTTTTTTTTAATCCTTTCAAACTGTATTTTGGCTGAACAGTTCTAAAATTCAAATATTATTTAAAAGGATGAATAATTTGCTCGGCATGAACATCTTCTTGGGTTGAAAGAAGTGTTTAATGAGTGTTTGTTATAGAACTCTTACAAGTTTTGGTAGGGTGAAGGTGAATCTGCCATTTATGGGATAGATGACAACAAGAGGAAACTTAAAAAGATTATTTTCTGTTAGGTAGTAAAATTGGAGTTATGTTCATGGTAGGCATGAGATGGCTTGATAAAATAATCCTTGCTAAACATCTTTTACAATCAATGATTATGACGGAAAACAAAAATTTGATGTGAAAACGTAGTCATATATTTCAAATCAAAGGATTTTGTTGTTTGGAGGCTAACAAAAACCATTTTCAACTAACACTGATAACCTGAATACAATTGAAATTGCAACAAAGCTCAAACCATAAAAGTTTTTTGTTTGTGTGGGATGACATTTGGGATGAAAGAAATGTTGATTGGACCAATCTGAAGGATGTTTTTAACTCTGGCAAATGGGAAGTGTTGCGAAAGCTATGTAGACCTTTCCTATCCACCATCTGACATCTCTAGCTAGTGAAGATTCTTGTCTTTACATGCCAAACATGCATTTGGAGCAAATGATTGCAGTGAACGGTCCAACCTAGAAGTAATTGGTAAAGAAATTGAGAAAAAATGTGATGGGTTACCTGTGGTTGTAGTATAGTGGAATAAGGTATTAAAAAGTAATATTTGGGATTTATCAAAAGTAGCAGAAATGCAACCAGCTCTGCTATTGAGCTATCATTAGCTTTCGGCTCATTTGAAACACTGCTTTGCTTATTGTTCAATTTTTCCAAAGAACACCAAGTGAGAAAAAAAAAAAGATGGTACTTCAACTATGGATTGCAGAAGGCTTAATACTCCAATCCACAAATGAGTAAACTATGGAAGAAGTCTTTGATGAATACTTTGAAGAGCTAGTATCAAGGTTGCTGACAAATTTGTCATTGATGGAACAAACTTTTAAATGCATGACCTCATCAATGACTTAGGCACGATGGCTTCATTTGTTTTAGCCACGATGGTTTCGTCTGGTGATTGAAGGACCAAGTCATCAATTTATTCTTTCATCTTCAAATTTGATCAACAGAGGGGTCAGTAACATTTTGTAGCTTTGAGATGGCTTGAGCTTTGCTGCAATTTCACTTGTAAAGTATTCGGTTCATTAGTATCAGTTGTTTTAGTAACCCTACAAACATCAAAATCTTTTAAAATATATGCCCATGCTTTCACATCAAATTTTTGTTTTATATCATAATCATTGTAAAGGAGTTTAGCAAGAGTTGTTTTACCAAGTCCTCTCATGACCACAATGGAAATAACTCCTATTTTATTGCCAATAGCATCTTTTGATAGCAAATAATCTTTAAGTTTCCTTTTGTCATCATCTTTGCCAATAATAGTAAATTTATCTACAACAGAACTTGTAGGAGTTCCATGCCAAACACTGCTGGAAACATCTTTCAATCCAAGGAGGTGTCTATTCTAGGTAAGTTGTTCTAATCTTTCAAAAAATGTTTGCATTTTAGAATTGATTACCCCAGAACATGGTTTGAAAAGCTTTGACTCAGCATCCACTTTGCACCGCAAAGCCTTTAGGGTTGATTTCTTTCAACAAATTGTCAATATCAAAGACAACACGTGTGAGCTCATCCAGCCATTCCATGACAGCAGGATTGGTGATCTGTTTCTGCTCAGCATCATTTAGTACAGCTTCATGACTCTGCAGTGTTATTTTCAGCTTTTCCAGCTGTGAATTGTCAAGCTTCTAGCTCCGGATGGAGTCCATGAACTTGGGAAATGATCTTGTCCAAGAACATCTCCACAGAAGTTAAGAGTAGTGCTCCTCCCCTAATGGCAGCAGCCATATGCTCCTTGGATTCAATAAGACGCCACAGTTTAGAGTAAGAATGGATTCATAAGAAAAGCAGGGTGGAAGTAAATCTTGCTTCTCTCTGATTTTTAAACTAATTATTGATATCAATTATTGTTTCATGGGAGTAGTTTGGAATCACTGGTGGTCCATCCATTGCAGTTAGCATATTATTGTTAATCCAATGTTTTATGTGGAGCACTAAGTAGGAGTCAACAAAGAAGTCTTCCAAGGTATTAAGGTTGAACCAATGATGGGGATTGTAAAATGGCTTGGTATTCCTGTCTCAAGGTTATGTAAAAAGTTTGCTGATATCTTATCTGACTAGGAGATTTTTGGATCAAAACATGTAATCGATTTCCTTTGGGTTCTGGGAGTTCCTAGTTTGTTTGAAGCTTTTGTACCTTTCCATTTCTGATAAGCTATCGTTGCAAGGTTTTACCACGAAGAAGGGCTAGCTCAGATGTGGACTCATGAGCTATTGTCAAATTACTATATATTTTTACAGCTAATACCTATGTCTATCTTCGTCTGGCACTGTATAAACAAACACCTTGCTGAGAATGCTAATAACGGAAAATCACTGTAAATTATTACCTATTGGCAACCATTTCAGAATTTTATGACGTGAAGCAAGATATAATGGTAGATCAGTAGGAGAATCATCTCAAGTGAAGATGTAGGTGTTGTTTTGCTTGGATATCTAAAGATTATCAGTTCAGTACTGTACTTTATCTTCTATTTTAATATTTTCAAGAATGCTGCATTTTGCAATGGCTTATCATTTATATGACATACAATAATTTTCTTTGATCTTTTAAAGATCGAGACAGCATATTTTGACATAAATCTTTGATATTATTGGTATGTAGATATTAGTGTTCTCATGATTTTTCTTTGAATATTCCAATTTATCCATCAACTCGAAGACTGCAGCTAGTTGATGCAACTGGGGGCATTGTTGTTTTTATACCAGACATTCACTATGTTGAATCCCAACAAAAATAACTTGATAATTTTTGAAATCAATGCAGCCTTAAGGTCAATTATTTGTGGTAGTCTTATATTATTTTATATTTGCTGTCGCTTGAATCCAATGTACTGTTTTATTTGACTTTATGTATTCCTTCGCTTTTGACAAACTTTATAAATTGTAATGTCCTTTATCTTATAAACTTGGTGTTCAAGCTTTCCAACACGAAATAATAATGATGAGGATTTTGTCGACAGGTGGATCACACATCCCCGTATGTTTAGGCACCCATTAAATGAGCCTAGTACCATCAACCCTTATTGCTTCTCCAGTCCTATGCTCTATCTGCCATGGCTTCCAAATCTCACTTGAAAGTCTTTTTAAAAAGGATATTCATTTTCTAATACAAACTTCAAGGCTTTTATGAAGGGTGCAAGGAGTAGTGTTGAGAAGTGGTTTTATTTTAGAGTTTCTCATGTGAAACTAATTTTATATCGTAAATTACAAAATATATTTATTCCAAGAAGAGAAAGCTCGATCATCAAAAGTTACTACATTGTTTTCATTAAGTATAGCCAAGCTTAGCGTTTTGACGACCATAATTTAATCGATCTCATTCTTTAAAAGACATCGATGAGAGTAATAAATGGTTGGTAGGAGAAATTGATTGGTATGATAAAACGCTGAAAAATAGTTCCTTTTAATGAGGATATATTGACTTGGGGAGCTATTGGTAATATAACTAGCGCTGGTGAGGCCTTTTACATTTGAAGAAGCAAGGTATTTCTATGCCTTCAAGCTATAGCAAAAAAGAAAAAGGGAGATAGTGTTATAGAAAGCGAAGAATGTGGTAATGAAATTTTTTGAAGAGCAACAACGTATCTACAATTTTAATACTTTGAAAATGAGGATGATAATGAAGGCTTAGAAGATGGTGGCTTCCTTGAAATGGGAAGTGACTACAGAAATTTGCATTTGATAGTATTAAGATTCTACCTTTTATGTTCTTTGAATTTTGTAATTTAGTTCTTCTTAATTAATTTCTATTATTTTAAATATAATAATAACATTAAATTTTGAGAAATTATTAAAGTTGCTCCCACTAGCCCACTTTTAATAATTTTAATTTCTAAATTTTGTTTCTTTCTTATCCTTATTTGAAATGAGTGAGAGTAGAATTAGTTACGAAAATCTTTACTTTTTTTGGTAATTTAAGATGGGAAAATTAAAGGATGCCTTCAACGTCATGAAGGGGTCCTATATATAGATTGAAAAAAAAATACTATTTGTACAATACAGGTTACACAATCGGAACTATTTCAACACGTTATTAGTATTTATAATTATGGAATAGGCTATACTTACTACCAACTTTGTTATCGTTGGATCAAAATTAAATCAACGGTTACAAAATAACATTAAATAAGAGTCGTTGATTGTATTTTAATCCAACGATAATAAAATTGGTAGTAAGAGGTGATAAAAAAAAAATAAGTATAACCTCCCCCAAAGTAGTTAAGTTAAATTTAAGAAGAAAAAAAAAAAAAGAGTTCGAGAAAATAAGATATAGCTCAAATCTAAAAACTAAAATAAAATTAGATGACAAAAATATCTTTTTTGTTTTTCCGCAAACCAAACAAGCCCTTAAATATTCATAAAGAAAATAAGGGGGAGATTATAGTTACTACTTCTTTTTTTTACTATCTCTTACTACTAAATCTTAACCGTTGATTTTCATCAATCTAACAATTGTAATTTATTGGGTCATATTGATTAATTAATTATTAATTTTCAATAAATTATAACCGTTAGATTGACGAAAATTAATTGTTAAGATTTAACAGTAAGTAAAAGGTAGTAAGAAAAAAAGTAGTAAGTATAATCTCTCCCAGAAAATAATCCCCTAAACAAGATAACCATGAGCAGCGTTAACTACATTTTGGATCAAAAGAATATATCCATGATTTTCAGGAGGCTCAGCTTTTTATTTCAGAAGAAAGATTCCTTCAGCTATAAATGACTGCATTTCAATGAACTTCCTTTTCCCAATTCAGAATGGGAAATGTTGCATCGTGCAAGGATAATAATTATTACATTGTTTACGAAACAAGGAGCTAAAGAAAACTACAAATCAGGTAAATAGAAAGCATACATTTCCTATATCTACAATGCTAGTCATTCATTAGAAACTACGTTATCTGAAGCAGAGTTGAGGTAGGAAATTACAAGATCAGCTGCTTTGCAACCCGAGGCAATTGTTTTGCCAACTGAGAGTCCACCTTTGTGATTACCTACCAAGTTCATCATTACTTCATTAGTAGCACAAAAAATTAGAATTAATGTTTTGTACATGCTCTCATCATATTCTGTATAACCTTATCCCTTCCAAAAATAGAAAAATATTTTGGGTACTTTCACAATACTAAAGATTCAGTACATAGTCTAAAGTTGGAAAAAAGTAACCCATCTATTTGCATTTATTCTACCCATCCTTTTATGGTTGATGTCATGACTCCCACTTTTTCCTACTTATGACAAAGGAATACCTACTACAAGAATACTGAAAATATGCTCCAGAACTAGATAAAAGAGGTATGCACTCATATTTAGCATTCACAACTTTGCATGAATGCACAATTGGATTCATCTGACTTCAAGAGGGTCCACTTAAACTTTTTCAATGTATAACTTAGATGGAGTCACCCATACATTTGTAAATGCAAGCAATGATTTGTTAACTAAAGAGCAGGTAACATTATTCTTTACCAAACCTACAAGTCATGTTATTGTATTAACATAATTTGTCTGCCAGTTAAAGCTATGTATTTAAAGCATTAGCATAAGAAGTTACCCGCAAAGAAAAATCCGGGAAGATCTTTTTCTATCTTGTCAATTGCTTCAAGAACTGACCCATAGTTATGCCCATACAAAGGAAAGCCTTTACTCCAATAGAAATGGCTGCCATTGAGAATAATTTAGAAGAACAAAAAAGTAGGGTAAGTATTGAAAGTAAGTTGATGACGTACTTGACAAATGTGGGCTCCCCTTCTGCTCCCAACAACTTTCTCAGGTCAGAAGTAACAATTTTCTTAAGCTCATCACTGCAGTAAACAGGCAAATTTATTAAGCAAAAGGATATAAAGAAAAGAAAACAGGAAGACAAGTCAAAAGGAGAAGAATATACAAGGTTTTTTTGAGAGCATCTATTGCCACTCTTGTTTAATTAACTTTTATGTAATTTCTCTTAACAAAGAAAGGAGGGTATTTTAGATGAAAGTTAGCTGAATAGGAGTGTGGCAATAGATACTCCCATGGTACTTTCCAAAATATATAATTACTACAGTAAAAGTACGTTGAAGCTTGAGCCAGTTCCCTGTTACGGGTTCCCCCAATGAAGGTGGTATAGAGATATAAATCACTGGGTGCACGATCTGGAAACATCATGGAGGAAAAAAGTGTACCTGTTGAGCAAAATAATTCAGCTGGTTACATCAGAAAATAGTTTAAACTACTTTTGTTTTTTCGAGCGATAGACTTAGGGAGCATTACCAAGGGTTTTAAAACCATTTTGTTGCTCTTTGGAAGGAACAAGAACTCCAAATCCCTCCAGAGGTCTCTGTACATTTTCCTTTTTAAAGGTGGTAACTATGACTGAGAGTGGCAAATACGTCACCTGTAATAAGGGTTGTAACTTGTGAGATGCTCTTGTAATTAAAAAAAAAGAAAAAGAAAAAAAGAACTAATGAAAGGCACAATTAATTAGTTCGTTTTATTGGAGATGTCCTCTTAAATTTAGATGCTGCTCAAACTCAAATTTAAGCACGGTAACCTTTCACATTTACAAACAAACCGATTTTACATGGCTATAGCTTTGTTTGATGACGCTGACCAAACAGTTACGGTGTAAGAAGAGCATAAGATGCCACCTTATATACGTAAACTGTAAAGAACCAATTCAACCCAAAAGCTTAAGCTGGTGGGTGAGGGCCTTTTAATGGTTTATACTATTTTAATGGCTTGAACGGTGGACAATGAATAGATCCACCTAAGTAAATTCCACAAGAGAAAGTCTTGGGGGGTGAGGATCAAACCCGGGACATGAGGCTCTGATACCATGTAAAGAACCAATTCAACCCAAAAGCTTAAGCTGGTGGATGATGGCTTTTTAATGGTTTATATTATTCTCTAACAAAAACAAATAAATTTTGAAGTACATTAATCAAAATCCATGTCAAGTTGAAATATAGTATACCTCGGGAAGAAAATTAAGTGGAAAGGGGGATCCTTTTTTCATGATCTTGATGTCTTTAACATTACATAGGGGAGCCTGTCATAAAAAATAAAAATAAAAAAACCCCAGTGAGAAATTGATGAACTTATCAAATTTAGCAACTAACAATGAGTGATGAGAATGTTAACGCAGAAAAAGTGTAAGCTTGGAGATAAAACTTCAGAAACTAACTCAACAAAACGTTCATAACACACCTCTAGAGAAAGAAAATAAATATTACAGAAAAATCCAACTTATTTTCCTTTTCTTGCCTAAATAGTGCTGCTTAAAAGTCAGTGGAGAAAATTATTATAAGCCTATGTACATAACAAAGTGCTGGAACAAATCTTCAACCCAACTATCCGACAACAGAGGGATTCCAGCAGAGATATACCATACTTTTAGTCAAAGCTCCCATGAATATCAATTGTAATTAATTTGAGCAACGTGAAATATCATGTCACATTAACATTAGTACGCAGGAACAAGTATGCTAAGGACAAAGATTCAGTACAGCAATATTAGTTAATAATACACAAGAACTTTAAGGTTCCAATTAAACAAAATTGTCTCTTTTTAATTGTCTTGGACCAACCTTTCCTCACGTGAGAAAGAGAGAGAGAACATGATGGAACCTATTTTTATAAATCTGAAATTGCAGAAAACATAAATGGAGCCAAGCTCCTTACAAGATGAAATGCAAAAAAAAAAAAACCTAGAAATCTCAACTCCCAGAGATCCCCAATTTCCCAATAAGCCAATACTCAATTCATGCATACTCACACTACCACACTTCCTACCTTTTATCCTATACTTTAGGAATATTCTAAAATAGTTTCCATAACAAACTAACTAATTCACTACTTTTAGGCCCATGGCCCATCAATAATGAGAGCTTGTGGAGTGTGCCAACAGCAGAAATACCAAGGTCTTCAGCCAGCGGGACTGTTACAACCATTACCAATTCTAGAACAAGTGTGGGAGGACCTTTCCATAGATTTTATTGGTGGACTGCCTAAGTCAGGGGGAATGGACATGATAATGGTCGTAGTAGACCATTTATCAAAATATGCCCATTTTATTACATTGGTTCACCCTTTCTCTACTAAACAAGTTGCTGCCCTTTTCATTAAGGAAATTATAAGACTACATGGATTCCCACGGTCTATAGTTTCGATAGGGACCGCATATTTGTTAGTAAATTTTGGGGAGAGCTATTTAAGGCAGCAGGTACTCAGCTGAAGTTCAGCTTCGCCTATCATCCACAAACAGATGGGCAAACTGAGGTGGTAAATAGGACTTTAGAGACTTATATGCGTTGTTTCATTAATGGACACCCTCAAGGATGGGTGAAATGGATTCCTTGGGCAGAGTTTTGGTTCAACACTTCATACAATAGGTCCACGCAAATGACCCCCTTTAAAATAATCTATGGCAGAGACCCCCCCGACTGTAGTCAAGTTAAATCATGGAAGAATTACAGTAGATGCACTTGATAGGTGGCTAGAAGCAAGGGATGCAGCATTGGATGATATTGAAAAAAATCTGTGTATGGCTCAAGAGAGGATGAAGCATCAGGTGAATAAAGGGCGTAGGGAGGTTGGGTTTGCAGTGGGTGATAGAGTGTTCTTAAAAATGCAACCTTACAAACATAGTTCTCTGGAAAAAAATTTAAATCAGAAATTAAACCCAAGGTTTTATGGCCCATTTGAGATAATTAAGAAGATGGGCCCCGTGGTATATCAACTTTTACTGCCAGGACATTCGAAGCTACATTCTGTTTTTCATGTCTCACAATTAAAGAGAGTTGTTCATCCGGATATACCAATATTGGAAATGCCAAAAGGGTTAACAGAGATGCTAGAACTGCAAGTTCAGCCACAGGAAATTTTGGCTGCTCGGAGGTTGTTAAACGGAAAAATGGAAGTATTGGTGAGATAGGTCGATCTGCCTAGCTGTGAGGATTCTTGGGAGGAACTAGAAAGTCTACAGGTCATTTTCCCTTCTTTTCACCTTGGGGACAAGGTGTTTGTTAAAGGAGGAGGAGTTGGGGAAAGAAGGAAGGCTAATACAAGTGCAGCCCAACAACGTAATGCTGATCAACAAGTTAATAAAGTGATAGCAAAATCGACAGCCTAGGAAGATGTTCATATCACCCAAAAAGATAATTTGGGTCCAAGCCCAAGCAGCAATAATGAAGAAGAGGAAGTGGTGGTCCAAAGAGCTAGTAAGGGGATGAAATTAGTTATGCAAAAGGAAGAAATGGACAGCTGGCAGATGCTGAATGGCAAGGAGGAAATTGGGGAACAAAGGAACGTGACAGAAGTTGGTTATATTGGGGGTGAAAGTGTTGAGATATATAAAATCATTAATGTAACCTTACCCAACAGCTTAAGCTTTTGGGTTGAATTGGTTCTTTACATGAGGTGTGAAGAAAATTATTCATCAACTTGGAGAAAGGGGAATGGCTGCTCTGCAAACGGGTTTGTTTTGTAAAGGGAGCTAGGAGAAGGGGAGATGATTCTAGTTGTTATGGTTGGATAAATGTGTTTGTAATAATCATTTATTCGTGCATTGCGTATCTTTTTGTTGGAGTCTGTAAACGCAGAGCTGTTGGGGCCTATAATTATTGAGTCTGGGAGTCGTTTCATTTCAATGTATTTCCCTTTCACTGTGTGAAAAGTAGGAGTCTGTTGTTATTTGCTTGTAAGTAGGAAGAGTGACTCATTCTGAGTTCACTATTATGAATAAAATGTTGATATGGGTGTATTTCAATATACTGTTAGCAGTCTTCAGATTTAATATTCTGTTATCCAATTGATAAGGTGTTGATTAGCGTGTAATTACATACGGGTACCAACAGAACATTAGTCTATTTGGTCCAATTTTTTCATGGCTATCAGGCAAGTAGCCATCAAGAGATTTTTATTTTTATTTTTTAAATTCAACTCTCAACAGAAGAAGAGCAATTGAAACGGTAATGCATGTCTTTTGTTCTGTGAAACTTTCTTATATTTTGTTTATCCTACTTTTTCTTCTAATTTATTACGACCTGAAATTCAAACTTTCTTTCACACCTGCATCAACACACATATTAGCCGCCACACATATTAGCCAAGTCTTTCATGTTCACCTTTTAGTCATATTAACATGTTCATGCATAATGTGCAGTATCTCTGACACTAGATTCGGGGAATGAGCAAAGAAGGAAAACCATACTAACCGTCATAATTACTGCATCAACAGCTTGTGCGTTTTGTTTAGAAGAACAAGTAATAGACCAATTTTGGGACGAGGAACTTCCATCATGACTGTAAGCTAATGTCAAAACCTTTGCATTTAATTTAAGGTCATCTTTGCCAAGCTCTTTGCACAATGTATCGGTCAGTGTCTGTGCTGGATACAATTATATAAATGAGATGTATGAAGGAGATGAATATGATATTCATATGGTCAATGGTTCTAATCAAGCACAGAACAGGGTTTTCCTCAGAGGAGAAATATTTGCAAAATGATTCAATACCTGCATCCCACCGTGGAAAGAAAATGAACCACGCTTCTGCTTGTTTTTTCTTAGTGCATCCTTAGTTTCTCCAGTCTTGTCCTTTTTGGCAAATAAGTTTGATTGCAAAGCCCCAGCTATAATTGAGCCAAACCTAAGATATATAGAGTATCCACCACACATTAACCAAACAACTATCAAAAGAAATGATATCTTGAATTTCTAGGGAGACTCCCCCCCAACTCCAATACTCAAATTTTAATCACTTGCAGCCGTAAGGCTAAGTTATGTAGAATGCCTCCCATGTTTCAAAGATAGGACTGTTTTAACAATGTTTGGATCAAGTACCTACCACTAGGTTAAAAGCTGTAGCTAATAGTCAAGACACAACTATTTCTACTCAAGTGCATAAGCCCAAGTGCCATAGTTTAATGTTACAATACATGATAAGAAAAACATTTATTTGAAATAGCTACAGAGTCACAAGTTTCAAATAAATATGCCAAAAATGGGTCAGATACAATGATCCATGTTCATCAGATCCTGGGGTAAATAAGAACACAATTTTGTCATGTCTCATATTATCATAAATACTTACTTTATTCTTTAACAAAAAATAAGACATCAATAAATTCACTAATAGTAAACAAAAGAGGGGACTGCATAGTTCATATTATATAGATATCAAGTGGAGAAAAATTAAGATTTAAAAAAATCAAATATCATCAGCTAAATTAAATTGCACAACAAGAAAGTTACAAGCTATACCTTTTCTCCAAATTCCATAACTCTGGGAAAGAATGGCGCATCTGTTCGAAATAGATGAAAGAATGTAATTAAAGACAAAAGATGGGGCACCTGAAAGTATTTGTTAGACCTAACTGGTCAAAGTCAAAACCGTAAGGAAGAATTCACCTCACTCCAAAACTAGTTTAAAATAGCAAGATAAAAAACATTTAAATAATTGTATGGCCAGGGCCTTTGCCCAAGTGCATGCTATCATGCTTGTGATTACACTGGTCTTGTATTTGAATGCCACCAGGACCAACCATGTGATCTCTCTCTCTCTCTCTCTTTATCAGAGAGACCTTTATGCCCCATATCCTCTCCTAAGGTCATAGTGTTAGATCCCATATGATCACTAGGGTGCATACTAGAGAGATAGAAAAGACAGTAGGGTAATGGAGACCCAATGCAGTAACGATGATGTCATGAACTTTTTGAATTTACTGTGTCCTAAAAATAGAGATAAAAAGATTGATCGAGAACCTACAATGATTACAAGATACAATTTTCTAAAAGCACAGTTTTTTTTTCCTTTAAAAAAAAGTCCATTGTGACAGCCTTTTCCTCTTTAACCTATTAGGTTGATGTACTGTATTGGTGTAGATCATGATTAACATCTTATATGATTATCTAGTCTGAATGCAACCAAAATTCATAATTCATATTTAAAAGCAGGAAAAATGAAATATTGTAGCAATATTTCAAATTTTGAGAATTGACTCACAGAGAGAGATTCCGGATCTGCTGCACTTGTACCTCCAACAAAAGGATCAACGAGATAGTCCACAACCTTCAAATAATTTTGTTAGAAGATGACTTAAAACACTTTGATCCAAATAATAAATACTATGCTTGAAGATGTATGTACTGTGCACTGTAAGCATATAACACGTTAATCATGAGCAGAAAAATGTCAAATGATGATGGTAATGTAATGTGATGTTACCTCTTTACCAAAATGACGTTCAAAGAAACTGCCAACACTGCAAGAAAGAAAACAAAGAATGCTAAGGATGTCACTTTTGTGATACAGTGAAAAAAAAATAGACAGAGCATGGTTCAGTAGAACTTGATGCCATTTATTGAGGTTTATTTCACCTTTCCTGAGAATTTTCATCACACACATTAGAGGGGTCACTTCTTTTCCACATAAATGGTTCAAAAATGACCTGGATCTGCAAGTTTAGAAAGTTAAGTGGGCAAACTATCATTTTTGAGCTGGATAAATGAATAGCTTTGATTAGCTATATTTAGAACAGGTAACCAATCACTAACAGAACTTAAAAAAGAAAAAAAGAAAAAAGAAAAGGAACAAACAACATGAAAAAACAAGCTCACGTTTACCTTCCATGTAAATCACTCATTCAAATTATGTCCAGAACATTTTCTGATTTTGAAGTTTGGCATCAACTTCTTTGAGTGCATCTTATACCAGAATCCTATGTTTGATATTCTTAGTAGAAGATTTATTCATGGGCAAGAAATTTTTTTCATGTAAAACAAGAATAAAAAAGACAAACAAATCTGTGCAAACCAGAGGGATCAAGCTCATAAGCAATATTATAAAGCTGGGGAAGAGAAATTTAGAGAAATCTAAGACAAAAAATCAATTAGGGAGGCTATATGTGGTTTGATTGAAAAATATAGAAGGAAACAAAAAGACATACACATGGTCTTCATTGATCTAGAAAATGCCTATGGATAAGGCACCATGAGAAATCCTGTTGAAGGCTCTAGAGAAGAAAGGGATTTGCATCACATATATTCAACATGCTAACTGGGCAAATCCAAGAGCCAATGCGACAATGCATCCTTTTGCAGTCAGTATAGTCCTATTTGATGAGAAGAAAGAAGTAAATTCTAAACTTGAGTTGTGGAGAGAAGCTTTGGAATGATAGGGTTTTCAGTTAAGGAGAAAGATGGAGTATATGGAAAGCAAGTTGCCAATGTTTTGGAGGTGCAAATTGGAGATGATATTATAGTCTCAATTTGGAAAATGCATATGCTTAAGACTGAGTTCCGACTTTAAACCCGTTACGTACAGAAACTATCACCATAAACTACATTTTGCAGACAAGGAAAGCGTGTCTGACAATTACTGAAGAAATTGAAAAAGATATTTGCACATGCAATGTGAGGTATGTCCAGAATCTGAAACCTTCGGAAAAAGTTATAGTGGGGCTCAAAATGTTCACTAACGGATTGCAGAAGAGTATCTTAGGAGTCTATGAGTGTAAGCATGTGTAAGTAACATTATCTAATAGAAAACATAGCAAGATAATGACAGAAAATTTCAAAAGCTCAAAAAGATAGCAGATCCTCAGACATGTGAGAAAGAAACCTTTGATTGTGCAGAAAGAAGTTTGCTCTTCAGTAGTGCAGCAGGATTTGTGGGTACCTGATTTGAAAAGTTACCACATTTTATATTTTTTGTGAGACAAAGGTAGCTGCAAAATCTGAAGACCCGTTTAAAATGTCCAAATAATTAAAAGAAGGAAAAAGAGAATCAACATTTTAGAAAAAAAAACAAAAGTTATAAACCAGACATACCAGAAGTGGTGTCCCATTTTTCACAACATAGCGCTTGTGCTGTGAAATTGGCTGTACAGAAAATAGAATCTCAATTTTAATCATAACCAAAACAAAGATTTAATTCCCCAATACATCAATCACCAATACTCTTAAACTTTCAATTTCAACAACAAAATCCAAATTATAATTGAAAGAACTAAGGCTCTAATAGTGTAGTGGCTCAGAAAATTAGAAAGAAGTCACCAGTGGAAGTTAAATGAAAGAAGATGGCTTTATTTTATCGAGAAAGCATTGACTCGGAGTTAAGTTTTTATAGCTAAAATAGCCTTACAAATTGTTGCTTTTCTTCAAGTCCAAGAGCATCAATCAAATCTTTAACCTCCATTTCACTTTCAGTCTGCAAAAGGTGAACAAAACTTAACGTGAATAGCAAGAGCTTCTGAAAGAAGCATGTATAGAATAAAGGGTAAATTACAAATAACCCTCCTGATATTTAAGTCATTTTCAATTTTCATACATGAAATTTATTGTGAAACACGACCCCCTATAGTTTGGGTTAGATTGTAAAACGTTATGTGAGAAGCATGTGCCTTAAAAAATAGAAGGATGAGTAGCTTGAAAGCTAACTCAACTCACTTCCAGCCCTACCTATGGAATGTTAAAACTCACAATTTAATTTCTTTTCAATCTAACCCAAAATTCAGGGGAAGAGAGAGAGAGAGAGAGAGAGAGAGAGAGGGGGGGGGGGGGGGGTTGTCTGTGTTACAAATAAACTTTTATGTAGTAAATTTGAAACATCAGGTGGGTTATTTGGAATTTTCCCAGGACTAAACAAATCCTCCTCCTCTAATGTGAAGGTGCTCTTTAAAACAAAATGCACATGAATAATTATTGACGAAAAAAGAAAATCAATGGTTTGGACTTTGGAATTTGATTGAGTACAGGTCATTACATAATATGATCAAATTCCATAGATTTGTGACAATCCACACCCTGAACCGAGTTTTTCATCAGCATTTACTTACATGCACTGTAAATTACTTGCAACTAGTGAAATTACCATTGTATTAGCTCCCTCATCCCAAACTAGTCCATCCTGGGAAACACTTCTTAACCTCCCTCCGGCTCTTCCTTCAGCTTCAAATACAGTAACATCCAGTCCATGTGATTTTAATTTGTAAGCCGCAGCAAGCCCACTTGACACCAAAATACAAAGTTAGCCAAAGTTAATGTCATGAACATTTCAAATATCAGATATGTCAATGGCTGAGATGTTTAACAAGAAGCATGATGCAAGCACCCAATTGCCCGTTGTGAAATATAATAGAAGATACAACCAATCATCTTATTTTATCCAAACAGCAATAATGAAAATGACATTTCATCGTTCCTTTTTAAATTCATTTCTATACACAATCCATGGCACAATGCTATCAGTTCCCTGTGTTGGGTATGACTCATACTTGGCATACTGATGAGAGCTCTTGTTGGTGGGGTTAGCAGAAAACCAACTGGGGTAATGACTTGGTATTGTTGTGGCTTCTGACTTATTGTAATTTTCTTTTTCTTAATAGTTTGGACTTTGACCCATGAATAGTTGTTGCTAGAGTTTTCTAAATCCTATTTATGTTCTCTTGTAAACCGAGTGACTTGTAACGAGTGACGGTGAGACAAATATAATATAGACAAGCTAGACGTATCCTACATTGGGTGAATCAGGGTAAGGGTAAATCACTGTGTCAAATCTCTCTTCCCTTTCTCTTTACTAATTTCGATTTGTGTGTCGATTTCCAACACCCTTACTAATGCTTTAATTCACCATAACCAATGTCAGTGATATTCAAAAACATCCCAACACAAGAAGAACAAGGTTTCATCATTTCATGCTACCAAGCCAACCTTACTTATCCAAACTATAAGTCTGGCTAAATTAATTAACAGAAAATAAGTTCAAGCATTAGCAGTAACTAAATAAGAATATATATTAAAAGAAAGGAAGAGAGCCAAATTGAAGATATCAAGAAGTAAGCCACGTTACCTTACCCCAGCACCAACAACAGCTACTCTTTTTACAGATCCTGCAAACTCAAAAGTACTTAGGTCAAGGTCTTGAATATTTGAGGAACTTTAGTTAAACATCTTAGAAAGCAAGAATTTTATACAAAAATCATCACATATTTTCTAAGCTTTGCTAATCAACTGGATATGAGGCTAACGACAATTTTTTTTTAAAAATTTATTTTGCAAGTGATAATTATGAGTATGATAATGAGGATAGATTAGAGAAAAGTGAGTGTTTTATTTAGAGAAAGGAGATTACTTACTTTGGTTATCATGTTTTGCAGAGGAGGCCATCTCTCACTGAGCTTCAGGCCAATGTTGTTTTAGTCTACGCGCGTGGGTTGGTTGTTGGACGCGGTATATGCATAGCGAGAGTCAAGCGAGATATACTCCAAACGATGACGTTGTCGGATTTTTTATTTTATTTTTTTAATATACCAATCAACTCATTGCTTTACAATTAGTGTTATTAGGGACATATCTCTGCGTTAAAGTTTTAAATCCCTTCCATAAATGGTACTAGAGATGATGAACATATCCTCTCACTTTCACCTATTTAATTTTTTGGTGCCAATTGAATTACTATCATTTTGTGTTATCCGATTTTTTTTGGGACAATTTAGATAAAATTTGGTAAAAATATGTTCATTTGAAACTCACTTCTTCTTCTTTTTAAAAAGGAAGCAAATACTAAAAATTGTGTTTCAAGTACACCACGAACTCAATATTTATACAATGAATGCTAGTTATTCTACTACCCATATATTATAAGAATAGTTTGAAAATAAATATCTATAATTATGAGTTGATAAATCTAGCTAATGCATATTTAAATTAATTTATTTTACTTTAAAATTTGTATAGACAAAATATTGTTTGGTTATAAACATTTTTCCCAAATATATTAAATATAATTCTCATGAAATATAATCAGAGAGAATAGTATTTTAAATTTAATAATTATAATAGTTAATCGTGTCTTATTTATTTATAGCAATATTTACATGTATTTTTAAAGAAATTAATGTTTCTCTTGTTGTAAGAGATAATTTTATCTCCTACGCACATATAAAAATATGTAGGACCCATGTGAAAAAGAGAAAAAAAAATATGAGTCTTACACAATTTTATGTGTGTGTGGGGGAGATAAAATTATCTCCTAGGACATAAGAAACACCAATTTCATTCTTAATTTTTTAATGCATAATTTAAATAAAAAAGTAATTATATTTATTATGATATGTTAATTATTTTTTACATATGAAATATATATATATATATATATATATATATATATAATTATTGTTCTTTATTTTTATTTTACAATATAATTTTATAATTTCATCTGAATTATATTTTGATTATTTTTTTAAATACATTATATACTAAACAAATCGCTATTTTTTTAGGTGAACATAAATTGAAAAAAATTATTATTATTATTTTTTGATAATCTGAAGGGCCAAAAGCAATACCCCCAGAAATTAAAAAAACCTTAAGAAAAGAACTAACACTATTATTATTACTACATTGTTGATGCATTATCTGATATTAATAATAAAAGGAACAAAATATTCCTGCATTTGTTTCAAAAAAAAATTTGTAACACTTAAGAGAAAGTGAATGTATGTTGTTACGAAGAGAAGAAAGAGAAACATTGCGAAGAAAAAATTAACGAGATTCACTCATGTTTATGAGGTAAAAAATATTTTTTATAACAAAAACCCAAATATTACTCCCTTAATAAAAAAAATGAGATGCATGGAAAGATTGTGTTGGAAATCATAACCATAGACCCCCTCTTCCATTAAAAAAAAAAGTAAATCTTTCTGAGATAGTTTTTATCAATGTCACACGTCTTTATTGGCTTTGAAAGAATGTTCAATTATCAATCCACACGTACAAATGTCAGCACCTGCTTCTCATTACCTCTAACATAGGCATGGGTTGACGCATTAGCTACACATTCTTACAACAATTTTCTAAATTTAACCGGCAAATTTGCTCCAGCTATTTCTCTGCTATTGAAATAGCAAATAAAATTGCAGAAAACCAAAAGCTATAAGCAACCTATTAAAAAAATTACTGTGTGTATATTCGCCAATGTGGAGAAGACTCAAAATCAGACATTCCACAGCATAGTAAAGGCGTTGTCATAAGTATAAACTTCTGGTCATCCAAGAACAGCCAATTTTGCTTCTTTCGTTTGGAATTTGGTGGATTGTACCCCAAAATAAAATAAAATAAATCAGAATATTAGTGTTTCTATATATATATATATATATATATGAAAAAAAAAACTATCATTTAAAAGCACACAAGTTGTGTCCTTTTAGATGATTTACACAAAGTATGACCGGTCATACTTTGTGTAAATCTGAAAAGTTGTTTTTCTTTTTTCTCTTTTCTCAGTCATATTGCTGACGTGTATAGTGAAAAAAAATAACTTTTCAGAATTACACAGAGTATAACTGGTCATACTCTGTGTAAGTCACTAAAAGGACACAATTTGTGTCCTTTTAAATGACACACACTAAACCCTATATATACATGGGCTTATCGTTTCTCAAGCTGCTTGAAATAATCTTATCTCCAGCTAGTAAATCATAACCATACAAAGATGGATCAATGGTGATAAAGGAAGAGAGAGAAAAAGAGAATCATAACCATTCAAATGTGAATCAATTAATATAAGAAAATAAATAAATAAAACGACGTAGTTTTAAGGTAGCCGGAGATAAACTTATCTCGAGCTGCTTGAGAAATGTTTTTCCTATATATATATATGAAAAAAATAAATCTTATGTTGTAGGAGAATTCTAATCTCATGTTATAGATACATCAAGTGTGAGACCCACATATTAAAAAAAAACAAAAAAATGAGTGGCACACCTTTTTATAACATGTGTAGGAAGGATTTGTTTTCTCGTGCAACATGAGAAAAACAAATATATATATATATATATATATATATATATATGTATATATATATATATATGGATAAGTTATGTTTATAATTTTTTTTTATTTACAATTCTTACAACTTCAAGTATATATATATATCGGAAGTACACTCTCAAATATTTGTATTTTCTCTAATACATAGTTGAAGTTAGAAGAGTTGTAAAAAAAAAAAATTTGTTAGAGAGAGAGAGTAGCATTATTCAATACCACAAATTAAAAATTGTTTATTAAAGCTGGACAAGAATAACCACGCTCATTATTCTAAGCATTTCCTGACACTTTTTGACAGTAAGCAACTATTTTCACAAGAATAGTACCAGCAACTTAGAAGGAAGTAAGGGAAGATGGGCAGTGAGGGTGGAAAGAGAGAAATAGAAAGGAGGGAAGGCAGAAAGAGGAAAAGAGGAACAGATACGTCAAATGAGGATTTTAATATAAAACATACTAGATGCATAATTAAATGGTACTTTAAGGAGAATATTCTAGGGCAAGATCTTTCAGACAACCTGAAAGAAAAACTTAAAATTCAATTAGCTTTGTTCTCCTGTTTAATCGTTTCTAGTGGTTGGTTATTGAATTTACTTCAAGAAAAATGTTCTGCATCTGTCTCATCTGTTCAGTGGAAACAACTAGAAATTTCTCAGTATTAATTGGTAATAAAACTTAAGTGGTTGGCTAGTGTTGTGCATCTTTCACACCTATTCAGTGGAGAGATGGATAATATACTCTGAATTTATTGGTAATAAAGCTTTAGCTCTCAGCACCATATTCCATAGATGTCCATGGACAAAAACTAGCCCATTCAATTTATTCCGTCTCCGATTATAAATCACTTGAAAATACAAAATCTATTTTACAGACAAAAAACTTAAAGGGTTATGTTTATCTCATTTTACATGAGATAAACATCTCTCCTACACACACAAAAAGGGTTGGGTCCTACCACTTTTTTTTTTCTCTCTCCTCTTACATGTGGGTCCCACTTATACTTTTATTTCTACAACATGAGGTAATTCTTTTCCTACAACATAAGAAAAATATATCCCAAACTTAAAACAATTCATACTACCTAAGTGTCACTTGTATATTGCGATTCTCATCAACATAAATGAGCTAGGACAGCTTGGTAAACATACCTTCTTAGAAATGTTTGTATATCAGCACCAACATTTATACTTAGCTCTTCAATAGTTGCAGCAACTTCATTATCACATTTCAATAGGTAGCAAGCATCTAAAAAATCAGCAGATTTCACCGTGTCTAGGATGAGTGATGAATCTTTTACAGTAGTTTTTGAGATGTTCCATCAAAAAAAGTGCTGCACAAAGACCCATAGGGGGTTAAAAAATGCAGCTATTTAAATACTTACTAATCAGTAATCATATATTATCTAGCTACTGAGGCTAGAAGTGGATTGATTTTCCTGCATCTGGTAGTAAGAATTTCAATTAGTTCCAATTAATGCATTCAATTCAATTCAATTCTAAATCTCAGCAATTCAAATCGCTGGCACAAATCAGGGAGGCTTCTGAATTGTTACCATAATAGCCCAGCAATTCATTGTACGGATGCAACAATCAAGGCATGACAAACTCTGGGACACGCCAGAGTCCATCAATTATTTCAAGAGATTCAAGTAAGGAACATCTGAAATATTAATTTAAATAATTCTTGTTACCTACGCAGAAGGTCCAATCCGGACACTAAATAAAGGTTAAAAGATTATACCTACTCATCCATATAAGGGATATATTTTTTCTTAGTGTATCCTGCATTTCTATATGTTGTTGCAAAAAAAATTCTTCTGCAGCTACAGAAGAGCTGTAAAATCCTATATTTATTATCGAGTTTAGATAGAGGAAAAATAATAATATGTTCACTTTATTATTATTATTATTATTAGTAATCTCTTTATTAATGACTTAAGCAATAAATCATAATAAATAAATTAGACATTTTCTCCTAGTCAAGGTCTTCGTCAAGGAGATCCTTTGTCTCCTTATCTTTTCATCCTTTGCATGGAAAGACTTGCTCATTTGATTAATGTAGCAGTTCAAGAGGACGTTTGGAAGCCTATCAGATTGAATAGAAGGGGACCACTGCTTTTCCATCTATTTTTTGCAGATGATCTTCTGCTCTTTACAGAAGCCACAGAAGGGCAAGCTGTTATTATTAATAAGATTCTTGATTGTTTTTGCAGGTGCTCTGGTGATAAGGTTAGCAAGGAAAAAACAAAAGTCTTCTTCTCCAGAAACGTTAATCATACCCGAGTGCAGAATCTAAGCCAGTTGATGGGCTACTCTCCTACAAATGACTTGGGTAAATACTTGGGGGTATTCCTCTTCGTCATAGCCGTGTTACAAAGAGTACGTTTGGCTATATCT